AGAGGAACTACAATAATGTACAGTATTTGAAAAATAATTTGTTTTTTGAACATTAAAGCGTGTCAACATATTCTGTTATACAAATACACCAAATAATGATCTTTAAAATAGCATCATATGACCCCATTAAAACTCTTGCCCACACTTGTATGATCCCTGTTGACTAATTTAGTGCTTCTCAAACTAGTTGGACTAGACATCAGAAAGCATTTTAGTTAAATGAAATGAGAATCGGAGTCCGAGTTCATTTCAGATCTCATTCTGCACTGAAGTGTGCACACACACGCACACACACACGCACACAGACACACGCACACAGACAGACACACACGCACACAGACACACACACACACACACACTCACTCTCTCTCACACACACACACACACACACACACTTTACTTGTTCTAGGAATTCCACAGTAAGGAATTTATTTACACCAGTTAATGAACTTGTGCCAATAACAGTGTTAGCGGTTACACTGCATATTTTACAAGATAAGATATTTATCAGTGACGCTCAGTATCTGTAGAGCTTACTTTGATCTTTAACATTAGATCTTTATATCTTTCTCTTTCTTTGATCAAATCAAATGTTTGAAAATGGTGGGATCATTATTATTCTTAAGGAAAAACACAACTACAATAAAATAGTACAATGACAAACTGGCTCATATTAAACATAAACTTTTATTAACAAACTAAAATATTTATTGTGACCACGAATTAAGAATTTGTTCCTACGACTTAATTCATTTACTTGTTTTATTAAACCATAGTCATATTGTACTTATCCATTCACTTGACACAGACACACACGCACACAGACACACACGCGCACACGCACACAGACACACACGCACACAGACACACACACACACACACACACACACATGTACACACACACACGTGTACACGCGCGCACACACACACACGTGTACACACACACACTCACACACACACACACACACACACACACAGACACACACGCACACGTGCGCGCACACACACACACACGATGCGCAAAACTCCGCATTTGAACAGTCAATAGCAAATACTTAAACTAGTAACAAAA